GAGTTGTCGCTGGAATTTCATTGTGTTTTGCAACTTCAGGATCGCTCTCGCAATGTAAATGGCACTTTCATGTCTGGTTGGATCATGTCTTCCAATTACATTTTTGGAGGACGTCTCGCAGAATTGCTTCGTTTTGCAGGTGTTCATTCAACATGCACTTTGGAAGGAAGTCTCGTACAAAATGCGCTTTTGACAGATAACGGACGCACGATTTTTCAATACAAAGGGTGGCTCCGGACCTGGCAAGGCAAGCTCTGCGGAACGACGGTTGCGGGACGGTCTCGCGTCATGCTCGGATCATGTTCGAATCGTCCCTGTTTCTTGCGCACGTGCTGCTTGATGGAAGTCCATTGCGTTTTGCAACTCCTGGATGGTTTCCGCACTGTAAATGTGACTGCAGGTGTTGCTGGTGGATGAGTTGTCGCTGGAATTTCATTGTGTTTTGCAACTTCAGGATCGCTCCCGCAATGTAAATGGCACTTTCATGTCTGGTTGGGTCACGTCTTCCAATTACATTTTTGGAGGACGTCTCGCAAAATTGCTTCGTTTTGCAGGTGTTCAACATGCATTTTGGAAGGAAGTCTCGTACAAAATGCGCTTTTTAAGATATAGCGGACGCACGAAGTGTTGTGTTTTTCAATACAAAGTGTGGCTCCGAACCTGGAAAGTCAAGCTCTGCGGAACGACGGTTTCCGGACGGTCTCGCGTCATGCTCGAGACACAGTACACAGTTGTGTGATTGCATGACTGTTTGGTCGCAGACCGCAGGGCGTATGCAGGGCTATAAGTCAAATTGTTCTTATAGGAAACTTCCGCCGCCGGCTTGCCCGGAAACCGCTTGTATACGTACAGTATCACTTCGAATGATAGCATTGTCCCATCTACGATTGGTTGAATAAGGTTTTCCCTCGACGGGCCAATGCACCCCAATGCGCCCCAATGGGCGCAATGGGCCGCAATGGGCCTGGGCCTGAGGCTTCCCGTTGGGCACTTTGGCAGGGATGGAATCCACGCACTCCGCCTGTAGGGTCACCGCATACCTGTCAGTTGCTGCGAGCTCCGAGGGTGTCTATGGGTGTCTGTGTCCCAAATGGGTCGGGATCTTGAGGTTGCTCGTTTTCCACCTGATGTGAGTTCCAACTCTTGGGCTTCACATGAGACCCAAGAACGTCATTTTTTTATGCGCAATGAGGCATTGAGTTTGGCCATGTGGTCCCCAAGTGCCGCACTCTGACTGAATCACACACCGCGAGATCTCTTGATGTACCTGCAGAGCCGGAGAGGTGAGGATTGCAGCCATGTCAAAACCACAGAAAGCAAAGAACCTTCTCTTCTACAAGAAGCGAGTTCGCCTGCTCAGCCAAGAGCTTCTCACAGAAGGAGCAAAAAAGGTCTGGCTTCACCAGCACATTGAACCTCACGAGAGCGTCTTTGAAACCGTGTAAAAAGTGTTTGGGCTTTGGGTCTTTGTTCTTGAGGACATCGAAGGAACTAACTTCGTCCAAAACGTCCTTAGCCAAGCTCCGTGCTTGATTTCATCAAGAAACTGGCTCTCCATCCGGTTGAGCTCAACATTGCTGAGCACCTCAATGCTAACGGACAACAGCATCCACCGCGCATCGGACCGAGGCCAAGCTGCCCCGCCCCATGACTCAGGGGTCCGCAGGGAAGAGCTTGGCGAGAGAACTGTTTCGGACAGGCTTGTCCTCAAGATCGAAACGCCGGTGCCACATGGAGTCAATTGGGAGGGATGTGGCACTTCGGGATGGCGAATGATGCTTGGGCAGGGATACTTCTCTTCTAAGTAGCCTCCTTTTCATTCTCTGAGGATTGTAGCCCAGTAAGAATCTGTAGCCGGGTAAGAATTCTGGCTGGGTAAATTGCTCACGTAAAAGGGCCAGGAACGGTACAAGTAGCAATGTTGAAGCTACACAAACCCGTACCACATCCCATAATACCATTGTTTATATGTATTATGTGTGATTATAAACTATAAGTATATATATATAGAGAGAGAGAGATAGTTCAATGAGTTGGGGGAACAATGCGGACTGTGTGCTGACCCGCCCAGCACTGCTCCTCCCACATCTTGTCAGCCAGCAACAAGGACCTTGGCTCACTCGTACGTTCAGCTCATTCAAAAAAAAAACAAGGCACAGTCGCAGCTAGTTGACTCCTCTTTACATTGGCCTATTTGGAGCACATTGCAGTCAAGAAGCGTCAGAAACAGGGGGCGCCAGGTGCAAGCATGCAGGGTGATGCGGGAGCTTTCTTTGAACCTGCAACAGACCAAAGACTGACCCTTCTAAAATTGAAAAGCCCCTGTCCCCTGTGCTTCAGGTTCATGATTTGACATCCAAAAGAACAAATCGGCCCAGTTCCTGATCCAAACGCTTCGAGGGGCTCACTCACAGGCCCTGCACCACTGTTCAACTAGGGTTTGAAAGAAACCTCCATGGAGACCAACAAGCCCACAAAAGAACTGGCATGATGCACCCTGGCAGCTCTCACCCACAAGTGGCTGAAGCGCGCCTGCTGAGGTAGATCACGCTCACGATGAAGGCAGAAACGCTGAAAATGCCCTCGTGAGGTCATGAACCACCAAGGCGAGCTTGATTCTTGGTGGCTCACTTGGGTTTGCTTCTTGGGGCGCCCATTTGGTTTCATCTTGACCACAAGACTTCTTCGATCGGCCTAGCATCCAAGAGGAGCGGAACATGGAAATCCGACGTAAAGAACCTCTTTGGTCTCCAAATAGATCAGAAAAGTTTCCAGAAAAATAAGAAGATCTCCTTCTCTATATCATATGTGGGGTCACTACAGATTTATCAAAAAACAAAAGTATATCCAACTCTGAGATTGATCTCATCAACCACCTTGGTCAGTCCGTCTTCCCATACCGACCCAAACCGGTCAGCGTTTCCAGGTCCTGGTGCAAAATGCTCAGGATGAATGAGCAAACATGCAACGCAGAGCAGTCATGGACCTCGGCAGTTGGAGAAGACTGGAAGAATCCAATGGAAGTACTTGCTGACGTATAAAATGCTTGCTTGATGCCACCAACGGGCTGATTCGGGAAATATTCTGTTCAGCTCGGGCTTGTTGTGGTAAGGAACCTGGACACGTTCGAACTGCGCGGGTTTTCAAGCATGTGAGAACTGGATCCTCTGTGAGTGCTGCGATTCACACGGCTTCGCTCCACGCTTGCATCCCAACTCCCCACGACAGCCCACTAAGACACTACGATCGAAGGTCTCAATCGGCCTCGACAGGACGACCGCCCGTCGCCGCACCTCGAAGAAGAGTCGAAACATCTCATTGCCCTGCGCCACACGCAAGGCATTGGGAACACTAGGCTTGGCCGTTAGGCTCGCTAGGTCTGATAAACCCAAGGTCTTCAACAAAGCACCATAAACCAGCATTCTTAGTAAGGTGATGTATAACCTTGATCTCCAACGAGTGATTGGAGAATGATGCATGTCCCAATGATCTGCGACATGTTCAGGGCCTCCATTCGCTGTAGGACGTCAGCATCGGAGCGAATGTGACCTGGTTGTCTTTCATCGATTTGGCTCTTCTCAAGAGTGAACCTTGAAGCCTGTGATTCATCATGGTGTCCCTCGCCCACAGCTGAGCTTCGCACGATGGAAAAAGTGAATCGCTGCGCAAAGAAGTTGTGTCTGCAGAGACGAAGGAAACATCTCCAACACACGAAACATACTGTTCAATACAGTGCTATCCCAAAAATAGTTGAAACCCTGGGAGGTCTTCATCGAGATCAATGTATGCATGGTCAGACCATGTGAAGCAGTCCAAAGACCGTCACCTGCAAAGCACTGAAGCGCTGTGCAGTGGTCTCCTCTGCTTTAACAAAGCTGCTGGAACCTGCGGAAGCTCGGCGCTCCGCGCGGAACACACGACTTTCGCATTTGGTCAGTCGTGGAAATGCACGTGGCACTCCCGGTCAACATGCAAGTAGAAAATCGCCTCTGGGAAGACGGTTTTCCAGAAGCAACGGGCGTGATCCACTTCCATTGTCCATTTTTGTCAGTCAATGAACACAAACAGTTTGTCCAATTAAGCCCAAAATATCTTTGGATTGGTGCACAATTTGGAAAATGTACGGGGGGCAAAATATGGGAATCATCAACATCAACATACTGATCAAAATAGTTTTACCACACAAAC